ATGCAGAATTTCCTAACAAGTTGAATTAGTCATATTTAGTAGAATATTCTTGAAACACTAACATTTTATGTAAAACAGTTCTGCGATTAAAACTGAATGGGTTATGAAGCTTTGAATATAGCTGTTTTATACGACCATTTTAATGGCGGAATCGAGGAAAATCCTCCAACTGACGCTCGAGTTTAGACCATTTTAATGGCGGAATCGAGAAAAATCCTCCAATTGACGCTCGAATTTAGACCATTTTTAATGGCAGAATCGAAAAAAATCCTCCAATTGACGCTCGAGTTTAGACCATTTTAATGGCAGAATCGAGGAAAATCCTCCAATTGACGCTCAGCGCTTGCTCGACGCGGCAGCTGCTTGGTTTAAAATTATGAAATTCAAAGCTCCATGATTCCATCGATTTAGTCGCAGAAGAGTGGAACTTTTTTTTGTTTAAAATGTCAGTATGTCAAGAATATTTTACTAAATATAACCGAGTATGTATGAAAATCTAGACTCAAAAATTACTCAAATAACAAAACGTAATTCTTGACGTTATTTAAAGAATTTTTTCAACTGATGGTATATGCCTGTCTCTAACGGTTTAGAAATTAAATTAGGCACACACTGTAAAATAAAATATAACCACATAAAAAGGGCCGATTTAAGACCAATAAAAAGATTTAAACCAAAAATTAACATACCAAAACTTTATCTTATAAAAAAACATTAAAACAAGAACCTATTTCATTTATTTTATATGTGAAAAAGTACAAAAATAAACAAAAAAAGCCTTCGACTTCCTCGCATACTTTCATATAAGGATATCACTTCTAATTACTAATATAATAGCCCAGATCCTCCGGCAACGCTCTGACGTCACCAACAATAAAACTCGCGCCTTAGCACTGTGAGACGTTAAACAGCATTATTTCATTGTTAGATAACCTAAATTTCAGTCATTTTAAATTTAAAAGAGTAATTGTCGTTCCTATTTCAAATCAAATAGCTCTAAAACAGTGAAATAAAATTTGATGTCGATTGATATAAAATTCATCTCGCTACGATCAATAGTTCACGAGAAATTTTAAATTATATTAATCATATTTTTCAAATTAATTTCCGTTTTTCAATAGAAAGTTGTAAATTACGTCAGTGGTATATCATGCGCGTGATGTAGTTTGGACGGTTATTGAGTTATAATCAAATTGTTAAACAACGAAAAATACTTCACACGGAATGTTGTTTGCCAAGAGGTTTTTTGAATAAAGAAATATGTAAATAATATGTTAATAGAAAATAGTTCCTATCATAAAACATATGTTTATTTCATTTGTTTTCAATCAATTTTAAATAATTCTTTCGCATATATATCTATTTAAACACGTCAAATTTGATAGGAAATCTCTCGATTGAAGAGGCAATTTGCACCCGTCATACCATGACGGGTGATTTTCTAGTAAGTAGATAAAATTATTTTATTTGCGAATTATAGAAATAATCGTTATCGATTGACATCCATTAAAAATCATTTCAAAGTATGACGTTCAAGTATTCATTATACTTTTATTTTCACTAACAAAGAAAGCGAATTTACGCCATTTCATAATGAAAAAATCATCTATTAATGAGTGCCATGCTACTTCTCCTGAGATGTACAACATTATTTTTAGTTGTAGCCATGATAACTTGATACAAATAAATGCATTTAATATTTTTCAAAGGAAATTGCAAACAAATAGACGCAATAGCTAAAAATGCATATCTTCATTAACTCTATAGATACGGGAACGTCCCAAACGTCTCTCCAAGCAAAAGACGATGGCCGTCCGAAACGTCCGAAAATCAGTGCGGAAAATTCCACCCCCTTTCGTTAAGTGTGATTGATGTTTTGCCCGCGGAGAGTGCTTTCTTCGTTAGAGTAGTTCGCCCAGATGGGTTGGGGGAAAAGAGGGGTTTTCTTTGAATTCGGGCAGTGCCAGCTGTCATTGTGGTTTTTGTGGGAGGAGGTGAATTTACCTTATCTTTGAAAGAGGAACTCGGGCGTTATCGTATTTTGAGGTCCTCTGTTCATATGGTCTTAAGAATCAGAGGGTTAAATAAGACTGGCAATGCGCAAATTTATAAAAAATGTAAATAACAGAGCTTCTTTCGCGTAGCTTTATAACCGAAATCAATCTACTATTTCGGAAAAGACCACCAAATTTAAGACAGATGTACATTTCTGGTATCAAAACGACCTACCAAATTTCATCCGTGCAGCTCATTACGTCTGTGTATTATCGTGTTCACAAACAGGAATACATAATACCAAAAACGTGTTTTTCATACTCTGGGTCTGGGAGGACGAAAACGTGGAGATTCACCAGAAATTGCTGTTCGAAATTTTTGAAGATTAACTGTGTGATTTTTTTTATTATTTTGACTTTTTCGTCCCGTTAAAATTTCGTTAACGAGAAAATAAAATAACATGCAGTTATGAAGCTGAGCTTTTGATTGTAAAAAACAGTATAGACAATGACATAGACATAGACATGATAATGATATCTTACATCGGCATATACTAGGGATAAGTCGATGTTCGATGAGTCCGTGAAAAGTCTAATATTTGGCGCCATTAGACTGTTTCGATATTAGTTTTAGTTTCCGGTAACTCCTGGATCGTATCACATGAAGTTTCACTCAGATATATCTATTAGGTTATGTTTGACACTTGTTTGAATCGATTAAATACCATGATTTCTGAAATACATAAAATAACACTTAATATTAAAAAAACATCTACGGAACGAAGCAAATCTAACAGAAAAACATAAACACAAAGCATCTGATAAGCGCAATAGCTTTGAAGAAAAGAATGGCAATAATACATAAATTAACTAACAAAATAAAAAACCCTATCACAGTACAAAGTCAAGACAATAAGCGAAACAAAAATGAGAAAAGAATCCGGCAGATGGACGTTGTCAAGGATCACACCCCTGCTGGGATTCTAAAATTCAAAAATTGGGATAGATTTTCTGGTCACAGAGGAAACATATTCTTTGACCTGACAGTCAGTTTCCTTTACAGAAAATTTATCTCAATTTTTGATTTTTAAAATCTCTGCATGGGGTGATCCTTGACAACGTCCATCTGGCGGATTCTTTTCTCATTTTTGTTTCGATTATTGTATTGACTTTGTACTGTGATAGGGTTTTTCATTTTGTTAGTTAATTTATGTATTATTGTGATTTCTGAAAGATGGATGAGGAAAATTCTCGAGTAGAGTTGAAACATTACTTTCTGAAAAGAAAACACGGTTCAGGTAACCAAAGCTAAGCTACAAATTACAAATGCATTATGGTGACTCTGGCACCTTTGGGTCGCGGTGAAATAGTGGTAACTTTGCGGGTTCGAAACCGGAAGGCTCCAGGTTCGAAACCCGAATCCCCTGAAGATCCGCCATGTTTGTGGCAATGGTGTACGTTACATTTAACGTGCGTCAAACGTGTTCCCGTTGGTGTGATGCGGAAGTTTGGAGAGGCAGTTGCTAGCTCAGGTGTCTACCTCGTCATCTTCCGTCAGGTTTGGTGGAGGTTTTCAAATTTACGAGGTTTGTCCCAAAATAGCCCTCGTGCTGCTCAATATGGGAAGTTAATACAACTAAACCAAAATGGTACTTCCGATTAGTTCTCAAGTTATCTGGTAATTATAAAAGCCTGAGAATTATCTGTTGGTTATCTGTAAATCTAGAACTGCATCTTTGTTTTCTGCTCTCAACGGCAAGGCAGATGCATTTGAGTGATTGCGTATCATGAATGAAATTCCCTGAGATAGTACTTGCATTTGCTTTGTTGACACACCTGCGCCTCGGGCGAGAAAGCGTGTTTCACAATACGAAAATGGGGTCAGAGAGGCTCCGATCGAAATTCCGCACCTCCAATTCTTAGATTAAATTCGTGTATGTCTTCCAAATGGGGAAATAATTAAATCAGTGGGACTTCCCGAAGGGGCGTAGCTCAGATGGTAGAGCGCTGTTCATGAGAGGTACGGACTGATACCCAGCGCTCCATTTTAGAATCTCGTGTACGTCTAAATGGGGAAATATAATCAGTGGGACTTCCAAGAAGGGGCGTAGCTCAGATGGAGAGCGCTCGCTTAGATGCGAGAGGTACCGATCGATACCCGGCGCCTCACTTTTAGATTAAATTCTGGTTTCTGTCTTCCAAATGGGGAAATAATTAAATCAGTGGGATTCCAGAAGGGGCGTAGCTCAGATGGTAGGCGTCTGCCTTAGCGAGAGGACCGGGATCATACCGCGCCTCCACTTTTAGATAAATTCTGGTTTCTTCTTCCAAATGGGAAATAATTAAATCAGTGGACTTCCACGAAGGGGCGTAGCTCAGAGGTAGAGCTCCTTAGCATGCGAGAGGTACCGGGATCGATACCCGGCGCTCCAATTTTAGAAAATTCTCGTGTACGTCTTCCAAATGGGAAATAATTAAATCAGTGGACTTCCAACGAAGGGGCGTAGCTCAGATGGTAGAGCGCTCGCTTAGCATGCGAGAGTACCGGATCGATACCCGGCCCACTTTTAGATTAAATTCTCGTGACGTCTTCCAAATGGGGAAATAATTAAATCAGTGGATTCCACGAAGGGGGCGTAATCGGTAGAGAGCGCTGCCAGCATGCGAGAGGACCGATCGATACCGGCGCTCCACTTTTAGATTAAATTCTGGGCTTGCTTCCAAATGGGGAAATAATTAAATAGTGGACTTACGAAGGGGCGTAGCTCAGATGGTAGAGCGCTCGCTTAGCATGCGAGAGGTACCGGGATCGATACCCCGCTCCACTTTAGATAAATTCTGGTTTCTCTTCCAAATGGGAAATAATTAAATCAGTGGACTTCCAAGAAAGGGCGATGAGGTAGAGCTCCTAGCATGCGAGAGGTACCGGATCGATACCAGCCTCCAATTTTAGATTAAATTCTCGCGTCTTCCAAATGGGGAAAATTAAATCAGTGGACTTCAAGAAGGGGCGTAGCTCAGATGGTAGAGCGCTGTCTAGCATGCGAGAGGACCGGATCGATACCGGCGCCTCCATTTTAGATTAAATTCTGTTTCTGTCTTCCAAAGGGGAAATAATTAAATAGTGGATTCACGAAGGGCGTAGCTAGATGGTAGAGCGCTCAGCATGCGAGAGTACCGGATCGATACCCGCGCCCAATTTTAGATTAAATTCTGGTACTCTTCCAAATGGGGAAATAATTAAATCAGTGGACTTCCCGAAGGGGGTAGCTCAGATGGAGAGCGCTCGTTAGCATGCGAGAGTGCCGAGATACCCGGCGCCTCCACTTTTGATTAAATCTGGTTTGCTCTTCCAATGGGGAAATATTAAATCAGTGGACTCCAGAAGGGGGGCGTGTGGTAGAGCGCTCGCTTAGCATGAGAGGTACCGGATCGAACCGGCGCTCCACTTTTAGATTAAATTCTGGTTCTTCTTCCAAATGGGGAAATAATTAAATCAGTGGACTTCCACGAAGGGCGTAGCTCAGATGGTAGAGCGCTTACTGCAGCGAGAGGTCCGGATCGATACCCGGCGCTCCATTTAGATTAAATTCTGGTTTCTGTCTTCCAATGGGGAAATAAAATCAGTGGGACTTCCACGAAGGGGGTAGCTCAGATGGTAGGCGCTCGCCTTAGCGAGATGCAGTACCGGATCATACCGGCGCCTCATTTTAGATAAATTCTGGTTTCTTCTTCCAAAGGAAATATAAATCAGTGGACTTCACGAAGGGGCGTAGCTCAGAGGTAGAGCGCTCCTAGCATGGAGAGGTACCGGATCGATACCGGCGCCTCCAATTTTAGATTAAATTCTCGTGTACGTCTTCCAAATGGGGAAATAATTAAATCGGGACTTCCACGAAGGGGCGTAGCTCAGATGAGAGCGCTCGTTAGCATCGAGAGGTACCGGATCGATACCCGCGCCTCCACTTTTAGATTAAATTTGGTTTCTGCTTCCAAATGGGGAAATAATTAATCAGTGGACCACGAAGGGCGTAGCTCAGATGGTAGAGCGCTCGTCACGCGAGAGGCAGGATCGATACCCCTGCACTATTTTAGATAAATTGTGTCGTCTTCCAAATGGGGAAATAATTAAATCAGTGGATTCACAGAAGGGGCGTAGCTCAGATGGTAGAGCGCTGCTTACGATGAGAGGTACCAGGATCGATACCCGGCGCCCCCACTTTAGATTAAATTCTGGTTTGCTTCCACATGGGGAAATAATTAAATCAGTGGGATTCCAATGAAGGGCGTAGCTCAGATGGTAGGGCGCTGCCTTAGCGAGAGGAACGATCAGATACCGGCCCTCCACTTTTTTGATTAAATTCTGGTTTCTATCTTCCAAATGGGAAATAATTAAATCAGTGGACTTCCACGAAGGGGCGTAGCTAGAGGTAGAGCGCTCCTTAGCATGCGAGAGGTACCGGATCGATACCCGGCGCTCCAATTTTAGATAAATTCTCGTGTCGTCTTCCAAATGGGGAAATAATTAAATCAGTGGACTTCCAAGAAGGGGCGAGCTAGATGGCAGAGCGCTCGCTTAGCATGCGAGAGTACCGATCGATACCCGGCGCCTCCACTTTTAGATTAAATTCTCGTGCACTTCTGTCTTCCAAATGGGGGAAACAATTAAATCAGTGGGACTTCCACAAAGGGGTCGTAGCTCAGATGGTAGAGCGCTCGCTTCGCAAGCGAGAGGTGCCGGGATCGATACCCGGCGCCTCCAATTTTTAGATTAAATTCTGGTTTCTGTCTTCCACATGGGGGAAATAATTAAATCAGTGGGATTTCCACGAAGGGGGTGTAGCTCAGATGGTAGGGCGCTCGCCTATCACGCGAGAGGTACCGGGATCAATATCCGGCGCCTCCACTTTTTAGACTAAATTCTGGTTTCTATCTTCCAAATGGTGGAAATAATTAAATCAGTGGGAATTCCACGAAGGGGGCGTAGCTCAGACGGTAGAGCGCTCACTTAGCATGCGAGAGGTACCGGGATCGATACCCGGCGACTCCGATTTTTAGATTAAATTCTGGTTTCTGTCTTCCACATGGGGGAAATAATTAAATCAGTGGGATTTCCTCGAAGGGGGTGTACCTCAGGTGGTAGGGCGCTCGCCTATCACGCGAGAGGTACCGGGATCAATATCCGGCGCCTCCACTTTTTAGACTAAATTCTGGTTTCTATCTTCCAAATGGTGGAAATAAT